CAGAGTTAGAATAAACGACCCTCAAAAGAACAGCAGGGTGAGCAAAAAATCAGGAATTAAGAACAAAAAAAAAAAAAAATTAAAAAGCAGAAAAGAAGAAATCTACGTACTTTGTGATAATGAAATTTCTGGATCCCGAATTCGTGATTTTCGCCAGAGTATCAAAATAGGCAGGTAAACTGTAGCCAGTCGTATGCATATGGTACCTAGAAAGACATATAGAGGCCGCTATTAAAAAAATCATGATATAAAAATGATATTTTAAAAAACTCGAATATTTCCCAATAAATTTAACTGCAATTCACAATACATAAAATATGGCTGGAAGATGCAGGAAGACGCTTAAAAAGGATAAAAGTGAGCGAAGAGAGGAAGAAAAAGAAAAATTCTCATGATTAAGACTTAAATTTAACGCAGATTCGTAAAATTACCAAAAAAAAAGCAAAAATTGATAAATGAACGGGGAAAAATGCACACGGAAAGGAAAAAATAAAAATTTAATATCGAATTTTTGAAATAACATGCAGTCAACTTAAGAATTTGGTACAAAAAAATAGTGAAGAATTCTGTTCTAACTAAATCATCATGTACATGGCGAAAAAATTTAGAAGAAAAAATGTTTTTTCTTTTTACATGTCAAAGAGTCAGGAATAACTTTTTATGTTAAGAAAAGGCAAAAAAGCAATTATTTAAAAAAAAAAAAACGATATCTCGAAATCTTTTTTGTCCCATTATTTTGAAATTTTTTGAAATTCTTGAAATTTTTCCCCAACATTTTGAAAATTTTTTGTCACTTATTTTGTGTTTTTGGACTCCGTGTTTTAAAAATATGTCAAGAAAAGGTTAAAAAAAGCAATTGTTTAAAAAAAAGATGCCGTGGGGTCTTTTCTGCCTCATTATTTTAAAATTTCGAAATTCTTGGATTTCTTCGTATTATTTCGAAATTTTTTTTTTGTCTCTTATGTTCCTGGATTTTCGTATTTTAAAAATACAGTAAATTCGAAGTCAATGAATAATTACGAAGTAAAAAAAAGCTGCTATAACTTACTACAAATAATTGCTGCAATCCAGGAGAGATTATAATGGGTATGAAATGATTCCAGAATCACTCGATACCACGAAGATGGCTTCCACCACGTGTACAGCCCCAAATGTTCCAACGGTGTTGCACTTAGGCCAGCATTTTCGATCAAATTTTGCGTATAAGTAACACAACGATTGAAAAATTGAACGAATGGGAGGCCCTGCAAAAAGCAATTTTTCTCCAAAAAATTAATTACCCCAAGAAAAAATACTATAAAAGGAATTTTTAATCGATTTTAAATTGATTTTTTTTAAACAAATAATCGAAATTGAAAATTAATTGAAAATTAAAAATAACGATTTTCGGGTTAAGAAATTAATTTTAATATTGAATTGTTATTCAGTTAAAATCAATTTTCTGACAATATATAATCGAAACTGTGAAACTAGAGAAATTAACTGAAGATAAAAAAATAACGATTTTCAGATTATTTAAGAAATTAGCTTTAACTGAATCATTATTCAATAACGACAAGTAATAAATAATAATAACAATAATCGAAACTGTAATAATAATAATCGAAATAATAATAATAGTCGAAACTTAACAACAAATGATCGAAATCGTAAAAACAGACGGAAATAAAAAATAAGAAAATACTCAAATTTGAATTAATTTTTTTAAAAAGGATCGAATTTTGAAAAAATAACTGCAAACAATCGATAATTGAGTAATTAAAATAATTAAGTACTTAAAATCGAAGTTTACTTTAAAACTAGCCGAAAATAAAATTAAAAAATCAAATTTAAACCAACTTTTTTAAAAAGGATCTAATTTTAAAAAAATAACTGAAATAATCGATAATTGAGTACTTAAAATGAGTAAGTAATTAAAATCGAAATTCGCCGTAAAATTAGCCGAAAATAAAATCAATGAAACGATCAAATTTAAACCGATTTTTTTTAAAAAAAGATCGAATTTAAAAAAAAAATAACTGAAAATAATCGATAATTGAGTACTTAAAATAATTAAGTACTCAAAATCAAAATTTACTGTAAGGCCAGCCGAAAACAAAATTAATAAAACAATCAAATTTAAAACAATTTTCCCCAAAAAAAGATCGGAATTTAAAAAAAAAATAACTAAAAATAATCGATAATTGAATACTCGAAAAATTAATTCGAATTTTACTACCTTTATTTCGGCGGCAAAATCAATGGGTGGAAGCGGTTCACGTGCGTAACAACGTACTGCACAAATATTCCTTGCACGAAATAACGGGGAATTTTGCCTGGTACTTGCCGATATACCTGGTAGAAGTTGGCAAATTCTTCCTGGCCCCAAGTGACATCGCGCCAACAT